GATGAATGCCATGTGTCATCCATCAGGATGGGCCTCACCTGCTAACCCGTGAGACCTGGTCTCATGGAATTCTTTTCCGCATGGGTAGGGTACCATTTATTATTTATGTTCATTTGGCAAATGTGTTCAATTGTTTTGGTGAATGCTGGGAGGACGTACCATTTATCCTTATGTTCATTTGATAAGTGCCCTCGGTTGTTTGGAACGCTCAATTAGTTTGATAAGTGTGGATAAGACATACCATTTAGTATTTCTGTACATTTGATAAATGCATTTAGTTTTGTATGTGAGGGGCAGGTGATGACGTACCAAATCATGGATGACGCATCTCTAGCTGATCAAAACTGTAAAATAACCGCCGTGTTATAGTTTTGGACGAAAAACATGTCCATTCTAGATCCCGCAAAACAGCCTCTTCCCGAAAAATTATGTAGTTCTCCCTAAAAATAGCGCACGTACCCTACATACCCAGTTTTGGAGGCAATTTTTAATGTGACCAGGAAACAAAAAAACCGGTTGGCAGGAGGAAACTTTTAGCTCCCGCGCCTTCAATCCTCGCCACCGCCTTCATGATTCGAGGTCGATTCCGGACATTCCAAACGCCATTGACCAGAGAAGTGAACAGGGCTGACCTAGTCGCCGTGCTTCTTGTCGCGCGCCGAATCGTCGGGACCGGGAACGAGGGCCAGGGTCGGGCTCCTCGATACCTCTGGCGCCGGAGGAGACATTGTTGGCCCTCTCGCCGGCATAGCCGATGCTGCTGGGGTTGGTAGTGCCGGCATCGCCATAGTCGTCCTCTTCCTCCTCAAGCCCCCTGAACTCCGCCCTCCTTTTGGACGTGGCCGTGCTGCTCCTGTCTCTGGAGACGGCCATCGCGTCCCCCTCATTCAACTCCTCCTCGTCGATCTCGTGGCCAGCGGCGAAGCCGCGGGCAGGTCGGTGGCATGGAGGAAGAGCGCGGCAAGGGCCTCGTTAGCGAGGGCTTGCTCGGCAGTGCATAGATCGGGGGCCGGATCTATGGTCGAGGGAGAGGGAGGGGGCCCAATTGCAAAAAAAATTTGTTTTGAGGGTGCTTTGTGCTATTCTTCCGAGACCCTGTTATAAATTTAACTACTTATGAGTTGGCTCCCCATTTGGCCCGAAACGAATTTTACGAGATCTGTTCAGCCAAAGAACACATCGTATTGTAAAAATGTTTTGCGGTATTCCTGAAATGGGTTTTCAGTATATGATCTTTTACGGCATCTGCTAGAGATGCTCTAACTTGGTAGGGGGCTGGATGACGCATCATTATTCACGAGATCTCATTTAACACTAGAGATGTCGCGTGCAGACGCTGCGTTCGCGCACCAGACGTCAGCGTGCGACCTATGTGGTGGACGCCCTCCTAATACATGATCTCCAATGTAGAAGAGGGTGTCACTATACGCTGAAGCAACTCCCATAAGGTCCACCTACATGTGCAACAACAGAAATGCCACATCAAGAGATCAAGCCCGTAGATTAGTGTGGGCTCTTCGGCGTGCATGTGGCCTCGGAGTCCTATGCCGTGGCACACCCAAAAAGCTAGCTGCAGGCCGCGCGCGCACGCAGCACGCGTTTGAAGCGATACCCAGCCGCTTTACGTACGTGTGCCCGTCAGGTCAGCGGATAGGTCGCTCCGTCCCGACGCAGGCAATCAGGCAGCTGAGCATTTCTCGGAACGTACGCAGGATATCATTTTGTCCCATACAGGTGCTTCGTTTACCGGCCGTCTCCTACGCCTGCGCAGCCGGCCATGGCATGCACGCACGAAGCGCACGTACCCTTCGTGGCCACGTCAACGACACTTCCCCTCCCTCCCGCCTTATAAATTTCGACGCCACACAACCGTCAGTCTCACCGCACCCAACCCAGACCTAGCTACCACACTTGATCCTCCACACTGCGAGCTGAGTCAAGCTAGCAATGGCGAGGGCATCGTCGTCGTCGGTGTTTTGCATGGGTGTGGTCGCCGCGGTGGCGGTGCTGATGGTCCTGTGCGCTGCAGTGCCGGCCGCCGCTCAGGGGAAGACGGGGCCTCCCGCTCCTAAGCTATCGTCCAACTTCAAGACGATCCATCCGGGGCGGTTAGGGAAGAGGGCGCAGGTGCTCACCTGCGACGACGAGAAGGACAAGAAGAACCCCTGCGTCGCCACCTGCGACAAGGTCCGCTGCCCCAACGAGTGCATCGTCATGTGCCCAGGCTGCAAGACCTACTGCAGTAAGCCTCCCTACTACAACATATACACATACTCCAATATATCCTTGTTAAATCTAGCTATATGCTCTGCCGATCCTCATCAACTGAGAACGAATGAGATGCCTAAACTAGTTGACATTGTTTTCAAGTGTGCGACTTCTACCCCGGCGTGTCCTGCGGGGACCCGCGCTTCACCGGCGCCGACGGCAACAACTTCTACTTCCACGGCAAGAAGGACCAGAGCTTCTGCGTCGTCTCCGATGCCGATCTCCACATCAACGCCCACTTCATCGGCAAGCGTAACCCCACCATGAGCAGAGACTTCACCTGGATCCAGGCCCTCGGCATCCGTTTCGCCGACCACCGCCTTTACATGGCCGCCCAGAAGACCATCGAGTGGGACAGTGACGTCGACCGCCTTGAGCTGGCCTTTGACGGCATGCCCATCGACATCCCCACCGAGATGGATGCAGAGTGGCAGTCCACCATCGTGCCCACCTTGACTGTCACGAGGACCTCCGCGGCCAACGGCGTCAGGGTCCAGCTCAAGGGGGTGTTTGACATCTTGGCCAATGTGGTGCCCATCACCGAGAAGGACTCCCGCATCCACAACTACGGCGTCACGGAGGAAGACAGCCTCGCACACTTCAACATTGGGTTCAAGTTCCACGCCCTCACTGACGACATCCATGGCGTGCTCGGCCAGACATACCGCACAGACTACGTCAACAAGCTCAGCGTGAGCGCCAACATGCCGATCATGGGTGGCGCTGCCAGCTACGTCTCCTCCGACATCTTCTCCACCGACTGCAAGGTTGCCAGGTTCGGCCGTGGCCACAACAAGATCTCCATGGTAACCACCAAGGCCAATTAAACACTGCACATGGACGGCTAGGTCTCACGACATCTGAGACTTGGCCCAGGAATAAGAAAAGCGGATTTATGAGATATTGATGCCACGAAAGACACACATGATCATGTCATTCGGATACGCACACAAACATGATTGTGCAATTGTAACTGCAAATGATGAAATGAAATAAATTTATTACCGAAAGTCTTTTATTAGTTGAATCTTTTTGTTACTCTGTGTAAAATATATAATATGCAGCTCTGACGAATCACTAAAAACATAGTGAAAGGAAAATGTAGACGTACTTGTTGAACAACTTGACACCATTTCCTGAAACACACAAAAACAGCAATTAAACAACATTGGTGTAGAAAAAGTATACACGTTGAAGAAAAGATAAGCCAATTCATGATAAACAATTTTTTTTTTGCAAAATACGTTATGTGGCCCAAATGTGAAATCCGCAACTCGATGTGACTAAAGATGTCCAAGGGACGTTTTCAGAATCTACAAACTAGTCTCACAAAGCGTTTGATGCAGTGGGGGGATGGACTTCTTGCCCAGCCAGGAAGAGAGGTTTTAATTAAATCAGTTGCACAAGCATTGCCAACCTATATTATGGGTGTGTTCAAGTTACCTTATTCAGTGTGTGATGATTTGACAAGGATGGTGAGAATTTTTTATTGGGGGTCTAGAGAAGAAAAAAAGAAAGGTCCATTGCAGAGGATGGGATTACCTTTTACAGCCTAAGAACAAAGGAGGTGCTGGATTCTGTGATTTTCGTATGTTTAATCAAGCGTTGTTGGCCCGACAAGCTTGGCGATTGTTATCTAGACCGGACAGTCTGTGCGCCCAAGTCTTGAAGGCCAGGTATTATCCTCATGGTAATTTAGTGGACACGGTCTTCTTAGGTAATGCTTCATCATCGTGGCAAGCTATAAGTCATGTGCTCGATCTCTTGAAGAAAGGCTTAATTTGAAGGGTTGAAAATGGGCGAAGTATCAGAGTATGGAGAGAGAATTGGATTCCAAGACCTCACTCATACAAACCGGTGTCATTACAAGGTCGGTGCCGCATACGTTTTGTATCCGGTCTGCTCAATGACAATGGTTCGTGGAACCTGGAACTGCTCCGGCAATACTTCATACCAGCTGATGTCCAAGAAATAATAAAGACAAGAGCATCTCCAAGACTTGGGGAGGATGTCATCGCATGGGGTCCAGGTAAATTTGGAGTCTTCACGGTAAAATCAGCTTACAATGTGGCGTTTGAAGAAGCCCACAGGGATTCGGCAGTGGCATGTAGTTCCTCTCCGAACGGGAACAGGAAATGCTAGCAGATTATTTGGAGTTGTAATGTTCCCCCTACAGTGCGTAATTTTGCGTGGAGACTGTCGATTGATTCTCTGCCGACATGGAAAAATAAGCACAAGATTGGTCTGGAATCGTCTAGTGGGTGTCTTATTTGCGGCATGGAAGTGGAGGACAATTTTCACCCGTTCGTGAGATGCCAGTTTGGACGCGACCTTTACTTGTCCATGGCAGATGTATGGAGTCTACCTGCTCTAAGTTCGTTTCAACACAGTGGGAAGGAGTGGCTGCTTCATGCACTTGGTGAGCTGAGTGATATTCAGAGATGCATGGTATTATTAATTTTCTGGAGAAGCTGGTATATTTGAAACGAAGTAACACATTCTAAACCTGTCCCGCCCATGACTGTCTCTATAAGCTTTTTGCAAAATTATTTGGATACACTGCTCGGTATCAAGCTCAACTCCCACTGTGACCCAGCCAAAGGAAAGTGCAGTATTTTTTATGACCTCACTGCCACACCTCCTGTTAAGGCTCCAGTTCGTGAATCTGAGTGGAGGCCGCCTCAACAAGTATGGGTTAAGCTAAATACGGATGGTTCCTATTCATCTGGTGGTGGTGCGGGTGCCGGGATGATCTTTCGTGATGTTGCTGGTTCGGTCATCTTGTCATCTTGCAGAGCCCTGTTCTCGTGCAGAGATTCTCTAGAGGCGGAGTTGTGTGCATGTATGGAAGGATTGTCTTTCGCACTTCAGCGTTCTGACCGTCCAATCGAAGTCGAGATGGACTCGAGTACGGAGGTGGCTATGATTTCCAGTGGTGAGGTGGATCGGTCGGTTTATGCTTCTCTGGTTAGCGAAATTAAGTTACTATTGAGTCTTAGGCAATCTTGTATTACTCTTGTTCCTCGTTGTCAAAATAAAGTGAGTGATAGACTAGCTAATTTTGCTAGAGTAGAGGGTCGAACAATTACGTGGGTCGGTTCGGGCCCTGAGGATGTTTTGAAGTTTGTCTAAGAGGATTGTAAGGACCTGGTAATTGAGGAATACAAGTATTATTCCCGCAAAAAAAAAACACATGTCACGTAGGCAGATGTTATATGTCGTTCAACAGATGGCATGGCCAGACCTCCGTGAACTCAGAGGTGGACAACCTATTTCATCAAGTACAAAAATGCTAAACCTACGGGGATATTTGTATGGCCGAAAAATTACAAACCT